TAAACCCTAACCCTAAACCCTAAACCCTAAACCCTAAAACCCTAAACCCTAAACCCTAAACCCTAAACCCTAAACCCTAAAACCCTAAACCCTAAACCCTAAACCCTAAACCCAACCTAAACCCTAAACCCTAAACCCTAAACCCTAAACCCTAAACCCTAAACCCTAAACCCTAAACCCTAAACCCTAAACCCTAAACCCTAAACCCTAAACCCTAAACCCTAAACCCTAAACCCTAAACCCTAAACCCTAAACCCTAAACCCTAAACCCTAAACCCTAAACCCTAAACCCTAAACCCTAAACCCTAAACCCTAAACCCTAAACCCTAAACCCTAAACCCTAAACCCTAAACCCTAAACCCTAAACCCTAAACCCTAAACCCTAAACCCTAAACCCTAAACCCTAAACCCTAAACCCTAAACCCTAAACCCTAAACCCTAAACCCTAAACCCTAAACCCTAAACCCTAAACCCTAAACCCTAAACCCTAAACCCTAAACCCTAAACCCTAAACCCTAAACCCTAAACCCTAAACCCTAAACCCTAAACCCTAAACCCTAAACCCTAAACCCTAAACCCTAAACCCTAAACCCTAAACCCTAAACCCTAAACCCTAAACCCTAAACCCTAAACCCTAAACCCTAAACCCTAAACCCTAAACCCTAAACCCTAAACCCTAAACCCTAAACCCTAAACCCTAAACCCTAAACCCTAAACCCTAAACCCTAAACCCTAAACCCTAAACCCTAAACCCTAAACCCTAAACCCTAAACCCTAAACCCTAAACCCTAAACCCTAAACCCTAAACCCTAAACCCTAAACCCTAAACCCTAAACCCTAAACCCTAAACCCTAAACCCTAAACCCTAAACCCTAAACCCTAAACCCTAAACCCTAAACCCTAAACCCTAAACCCTAAACCCTAAACCCTAAACCCTAAACCCTAAACCCTAAACCCTAAACCCTAAACCCTAAACCCTAAACCCTAAACCCTAAACCCTAAACCCTAAACCCTAAACCCTAAACCCTAAACCCTAAACCCTAAACCCTAAACCCTAAACCCTAAACCCTAAACCCTAAACCCTAAACCCTAAACCCTAAACCCTAAACCCTAAACCCTAAACCCTAAACCCTAAACCCTAAACCCTAAACCCTAAACCCTAAACCCTAAACCAAACCCTAAACCCATAACCCTAAACCCTAAACCCTAAACCCTAAACCCTAAACCCTAAACCCTACCCTAAACCCTAAACCCTAAACCCTAAACCCTAACCCTAAACCCTAAACCCTAAACCCTAAACCCTAAACCCTAAACCCTAAACCCTAAACCCTAAACCCTAAACCCTAAACCCTAAACCCTAAACCCTAAACCCCTAAACCCTAAACCCTAAACCCTAAACCCTAAACCCTAAACCCTAAACCCTAAACCCTAAACCCTAAACCCTAAACCCTAAACCCTAAACCCTAAACCCTAAACCCTAAACCCTAAACCCTAAACCCTAAACCCTAAACCCTAAACCCTAAACCCTAAACCCTAAACCCTAAACCCTAAACCCTAAACCCTAAACCCTAAACCCTAAACCCTAAACCCTAAACCCTAAACCCTAAACCCTAAACCCTAAACCCTAAACCCTAAACCCTAAACCCTAAACCCTAAACCCTACCCTAAACCCTAAACCCTAACCCTAAACCCTAAACCCTAAACCCTAAACCCTAAACCCTAAACCCTAAACCCTAAACCCTAAACCCTAAACCCTAAACCCTAAACCCTAAACCCTAAACCCTAAACCCTAAACCCTAAACCCTAAACCCTAAACCCTAAACCCTAAACCCTAAACCCTAAACCCTAAACCCTAAACCCTAAACCCTAAACCCTAAACCCTAAACCCTAAACCCTAAACCCTAAACCCTAAACCCCCCTCCTCCTTCCCTGGCAACCGTACCCTTATCCAGAACATCTTTGACTCCGTTCCTATCAGCTGGTGGGCTACCCTCCAGAGGTTCGCCCCAAGACACGACTACCTTGCAGTCGATGACTGGGCGCTGGATTTCAAAGAGACATACCTTCCAAGCCGCATTTTTCAGGTCACCCTTCTCCTCCCCGGACGCAAAGCACGCGTCAATATCTTCACGGTTCTGCAAGGGAGACAGGTGGCGTTGGAGTGCAACGGCAGCTGCACGATCGCCTTCAAAGACGTGATCCCTGTTCACGTGAAGGGGCGTTGGCTTGCTGGCCCTTTCGACTCCGGCCCCGCCCTCGGCTCGCGTCACGAACTCCTCGCCGGCTCTCCATCGCTTTCCGACATCAGGAACCTGATCTATCAGCGCCAACCTCTCAACCACCTGGAGAGGTGGAACATTATCGTTCGGGAGCCCATTTCCTTCCTCCCTGACTACCACCATCCGTTCCTTAAAGACCAACCCTCCAGACATCGCGACGTCCTATTTCGACTATTCACACTCACGCTCCCATCCGGATCCAGATATCGTTTCACTGCCACAGGTGGCGCTTGCCCTCGCTGTGGCCCTCCCATGATTGAAGACCTACCCCACATGTTCTTCGACTGCGGGCACGCGCCCTCGGTAGTCAAAGCAATCCAACAAGTTGCCTCTCGTCATCTGCACGTCACGGTAGAACCTGCAGCGGTTTTCTTTCCACTTCCACAGCCGGCCAGCTGCATCGCTCCATGGTGTTTGCTTATTGGTGCGGCAGCCACAATTCTTTGGAGAGATAGATGCTCTGCCCACTACGAACAAACGACGTATACGCGGCTCGACACTCTCCACCGTATCTTAGCTCTCTTCCTAACTTCGTGCAAAATCTACTTCAGCCGACGCTCAAAGTGGTCCGACAAGAAGAAGCGTGTCACTAAGAATCGTATCCAAGCCGCCGCTGCTCTACGATTACTCAACTTTACGTCAGATGGAACTCCACAACTCCACCCAGCCCTGCGGGAATCCTGGCTGCTAAACGACACATTTCATCCCCCCTAGAGGATGGTCACTCTTTAGCTGTACAACCCGGTAAAGGCCTTGGCCTTCATTCTATCTCTGATAGACAAGTAATACTGTCTTAGTGTAGGTCTTTTAGGCCTTGGCTTTGGCCATGCTTGTGGTGTTGTACTGTACGCGGTTACGACCATAATAAAAACTTAAAAGGGAAAATATGCCACACGTAACGAACATGGGACCCGATAACGTGAATGGTACAAAAAAAAACGTGTACGGTCACTGTATCGGGTTTCCTGACGGGTCTGGTAAGTGGGGTCACGGATTCAGTCACTAACAACAGGTAAAAAATCACGCGAATGGTCACACATGTAACTCCCGCCAAAAAATCTTGAAACTCTACAATATTCCCCGCTCGCGTCCAACCAATCAGCTAACTTCTGGAAAAACTAAACCCAATCGGAATAGAATGCGGTTTGGGAACGGATCAACCCTAAACACCTGGCGAATTGTGTTCAGGGTTGATTCATCCGAAAAATGCATCCAGGTTCGTTTTGGGTATTATCTTTTTTGGGCGGGAGTTTCATCTGTGACCATTCGCGTTATTTTTTCCCAGTTGATTGTGACTGATTCCGTGAAACGTTTTATCAAACACGTGAGAACACCCTTTCCAGTGACCGTACCCGTTATTTTTTTACCAAACAAATTATCGAGACCCTTGTTGATTACGTGTGGCATATTTTCCCAACTTAAAACTCTACCTGAGCTACGTGGCACAGTGGAGGGGAGAAGCAGGTGGGTCGATGTATAATCCCAATAAGAGAACGAAGTATGATGTGGCGTGCTAACCCAAATGAAAGAGGATTGTGTGTCATCAGTGGGTGAAAGGGACGATAAACTCGGAGTGGGTGGGTGGGGTGCGTGTGCGGGCGGGCGAGTGCAAGAGTGCTCCCTGGCGACGGAACCCCCAGGAGTCTGTTCGTCGCAGATTGGCAGCCAGGAATCTTCGCGAGTCAGTTCTGACAACCGTTGGATCTGGGCAAAACATTCGCAACATTGTCGATCAGGCCCTGATGCAAATTTCGGAGATCAGTGAAGTCGGAAAAAAACTTCTGCAAGTGGTTTTCCGGGTTGATGTGATATCACACACATATTCACATTGTAGATTTGCAATACCTATGCTACAACGAAAACCAAGCAGCTGAAGCGAGTAAATATGATAAGCATTACAGCAACTTCCTTCAAAGAAAAAAACACAATGAGTGGAGTCTTCAAACGAAACTTAAGTGGGGTCTGATTCTTCAGCTGCCAAAGTTTCCAAGGATGATCCAAGCAAAAACAGCAATTCAATTGTCATTGGTAAAGGCATCAGATGCAGGAGTGCACAATCGACAAGTAGCACAATGGGTATGACAATGCCGCACAACATGTAGAGGCCATGACGCATAAGCACAACAATTACGAACTCCTACAGGCATGAAAAGGGAGAGAGAAAGATAGTGAGGGCGAAATTCAGAGCACGTGTGTGTGTGCGGGGGGGGGGGGGGGGCGGGGGGGGAGGGGAGGGGGGGGGGTTGTGTGTATGTGTGTGTGAGTGCGTCTAAGTGTGTGTGTGTAGAGAGAGAGAGAGAGAGAGAGAGAGAGAGAGAGAGAGAGAGAGAGAGATTCACTGCATGTACGACGACGAGGTCACCATGGCCTGCAGCCACAACTGGTTTTAACCCACAGGTCACCTGCCTATGAGACTAAGATCGCCTTGCCCCCAGTCGCATGGCCTCTGTCACCCACCTCCTCCGCTGCCTCATCAACGGGCAAACTCTCTGTTCCACTCCGCCGTTGTCTGTTTCAGCCACCATGCCTATTCCAATCACCCTATGCCATCCACTCACTTTCTGTTCCCACTCACCCTCTGTTTCCACTCGGCCTCTCTTCCCCTCGCATAATCCCCTCATCCCATCTTGCCTCGTCTCGCCTCCCCTCGCCTCCTTGACCCTCTCCTAACCTCCCCGCCCCTCCTCTGGCTGCGCCTCACCTGCAGCGGGGTTGCGCGCGTCACGCCTTGAGGCGGAAGGTGGTGGAGCGGATGACGTCATCGTCGCGGTTGAGCCGCTGCTGCAGATTCACCTGCGCTTCGGAGCGCGCAGCAAAGATGAAGAGGAAGAAGATGCCGTCCAGGTAGCGGCTCATCACACCGCCCATGTTCTTTGTCTTTATGCTATACGCCAACGGCTGCATGCCGCGGTTGAAGATCTCCACGTCCAGTGCGCCGCCCGCCACGAGAAACTGCACGTGCGGAAAGTGGGAGGGGGGAGGGGGGAGGGGGAGCGGAAGGGGGGAAGGATGCATGAGAGACGTGTGCTTGAGGGGAGTGCCGATGCGGGTAGTGCGCAGAAGGGAAGTGCGCATGAGGGGAGAGCGCATGAGGGGAGAGCGCATGAGGGGAGTGCACATGAGGTGAGTGCACACGAGAGGGGTGCGCATACACGGGGAAGAGTGGGCGGGAAGACGAGGGGGGATGGGCGAGGGCGAAGGGAGAGAAGCAAGAGCACGGCACAGGATGGTTCGTACAAGCGGATGACCGACAGACGGCCGGGTAATGAAGAGCTAACACGGGCAGCGCAATGAGAGCAAGGTCGCGCGACGGCGACGCACCTCGTCGCGTCATTCCGTCCCTGCGACGCACCTCTTCGTATCGCTCGGTGAGCGCGACGCGTTCGTCCTCCGTGAGGTCGGGTCGCAGCACCACCATCGCCTCGTACCGATGCACGCCCGCCGGGTACGACTGCCGCGCCGCGCCCTCCTCCTCCGCCGTCAGCGAATCAGCCATTGCCACGTTGCGCGGCGCTACTACGGCACCGCGCTTCGCCTGCTGCTGCGCGGCGAGTGAGGCCGCTTGACGTACACGCAGCGGCACGAGTGCGGCGCGCCTTAGGGAGTGTACAGCGGGTTGAATCAGGCCGGCGGCCGGCACGACTGCCGCCGCCACGGGGACGCGCAGGGCGAGAGCACCCGCCATTTCAGGGATGGGTGGTGTGGAGACGCTACGCGGGCAGGAGGTAGTTCGGTGGGGGTCGCGATGAGTGAACAAGTGGAGGGATGATGAGATGAGGGAGAAAAGGGGAGAGGGGATAAGGGTGCGCGCAGGGGGGCAATTCACGCGGGGGAAGGGGAGGGAGGTGCGGTTGATGATGGGGGAGCCGCGCGGTGGGGGACGCCCTTGACAGTACCGCCACCTGTGATAGGTGAGGGGCAGTTGCGCTGTACAAAAACTCGGTTCGGTAACGCAACTACAACTGGTATTTCAGAATATGTTGGCCCATTTTTGAATTCCTAAGACAAATACTATATCAATTTCCAACGAGTTGCCCAAAAGCTGGAAAGAAACAATCCCTTATAGAAGTTCCTATTGTCATTGTTCCAGGACAAGCTTGCTGATGAAACTGCACTTGCAGAAGCAAACTCCCTCTGTCTGTACACACATTGGCATTACTAAGGTACTGCGGAAGGAGCCTGTGGTGTTGTGGCTCTCGCTGCTGCTGTCACAGACTCACAGCTGGGTTGGCGCTGCTGCTGCTCCCACAGACGCCACTCCTGCTGCTGGTGCTGTCGAGCCTGGGCTCACTGCTGCGCCTGCTGCTGGCGATGCATGCGCGGGGCGTGCCTGGGAGTCACCTGTTACTGCTGCTGAGCCCACCACTGGCACCGCTGTGTGTGCTCCTGTGACTGGTGTTGCTGATGGTCCTGTGATTGGTGCTCCTGTGATTGGTGCTGCTGTGATTTGTGCTGCTGTGGTTGGTGGTGCTGTGATTGGTGCTGCTGTGGTTGGTGCTGCTGTGGTTCGTGCTGCTGTGATTGGTGCTGCCGTGGTTGGTGCTGCTGTGATTGGTGCTGCTGTGATTGGTGCTGCTGTGGTTGGTGCTGCTGTGATTGGTGCTGCTGTGGTTGGTGCTCCCAAGCCTGACGAAGCTGCACGTGGTTGCTGTGAGTGTGTGTGCTGCGATTGCGATTGCGATTGCGTGCCATTCTGCAGCACCACATGTCGTGTGTGTGCTGCTACTCCTCCTGCCCTCTCGCCCCCTCCAACTCCTACTGCTTTCGCCATTTCCACACCAGGCACACCTGCCGTACCTGCTCCTGCCACACCTGCACGACCAGCAGCAACACCACCACCAGGAGGAATAGCAGCAGCACCACCAGTAGCAGCAGGATTTGGAGCACTAGCAGCAGGACTAGCAGAAGTAGGGGCAACAGAACTGGCAGCGGCAGGGGCAGCAGTAGCAACAGGACGAGCAGGAATTGAAGCAGTGGCAGCAAGGGCTGTGTGTGGCAGTGCAGGTGGGTGTGGCACCGTGGGGTGCATGGAGGTCTGCCCACTTGATGCATGAACCACACTTACCACTGATGCCATTCCCATGCCTTGCCTCACCACGCCTTGCCTTGATACTGTTTGGCTCGCCAGTGCTTGGCTCGGTACTGCTCGGCTTGGTATTGCTTGGCTGAGTACTGCTTGGCTCGGTACTGCTTGGCTCGGTACTGCTCGGCTCGGTACTGTTTGGCTCGATACTGCTCGGCTTGGTACTGCTTGGCTCGGTACTGCTTGGCTCGGTACTGCTCGGCTCGGTACTGTTTGGCTCGATACTGCTCGGCTTGGTACTGCTTGGCTCGGTACAGCTTGGCTTGGCACTGTTTGGCTTGGCAGTGCAGGGCTCGGCAAGACTTGCTGTGGCCCTGGCTGTGCAGGTGTATATCCCCTTCCTGCACCTGCTGCTGTGTGTGGCACTGCTTTCACAGCTCCTGCTGTTGTGTGTGTTGCTGATCCCCCTTGTGTCGCTGCTGCTGCTGTCACTGCTGTTGCTGCATGAGTTGCCACACTACCCGACTGAACGTGGCCAGACAGTTGCTGAAGAGGCAAGTGCCTCACACTCTCACTCCCACTGCTACCTGCTGCTGTTCCTGCACCTGCTGAAGCTGATGCTGATGCTGATGCTGCCGGTGCTAGAGCAGATGTGACAGGATGCACTGCTGCTGCTGGTGCTGCAGCTGCTGCTGCTGCTGGTGCTGCAGCTGCTGCTGCTGCTGGTGCTGCAGCTGCTGCTGGTGCTGCAGCTGCCACAGGAGCTGTGCCCCCTGTCCGTGCCACACCTGTGACTGGCGCGCCCCTGCCTCTGCCCACCCCTCCTGCACTCGCCGCATGACCGCTGCTTCCACGGCCCATGGGTGACTGGGAGGAGGCGACAGAAGGCTGCTGGGAGGAGGGGACAGAAGGCTGCTGGGAGGAGGGGACAGCAGAGGCCAATGGCACAGTTCGGTTGCCAGTGGCCGGGGCAGCAGTAGACGGCACGGCAGCAGTGGCACACACGGTGGCAGTGGCAGGCACGGCGGCACTGGAAGGCACAGCAGTGATGGGAGATGGGGCCAGGGGAGAGGGCGGAGGAGCAGAGGAGGCAGGGAGTGTGGCAGGAGCATGGGCGGGAGCAGAATGAGACAGGGCACCCACCGCCTGTGCTGTGTGGAGTGATGGTGGGGTAGGGAGAGAGGGGGGAGTGGGGAGAGAGGGAGGAGCGGGGAGAGAGGGAGGAGTAGGCAGGGACGGGAGGCCTGGCAAGCATTGACTTGCAGCAGCAGGTAGAGTGGCCGGCACAAGAGGTGACGTGGCAGGCACAGCACGTGGGTGTGGTGCGGATGGAGACACAGATGGAGCAAAGCCGCTGGCAGGCTGAGAATGCCCACTCCCATGGGGGTGCTGCTGCTGCGGCTGCGACGGTTGCTGCTGCTGTTGCTGTTGTTGTTGCCTCTGTTGCTGCTGCTGCTGTTGCTGTTGTTGTTGCCTCTGCTGTTGCTGCTGCTGCTGCTGCTGTTGCTGTTGTCTCTGCTGTTGCTGCTGTTGCTGCTGCTGCTTCTGCTGGTGCTGGTGATGCTGCTGCTGTTGCTGCCATTGCTGCTGCTGTTGCTGCTGCTGTCCATGCCCCTGCTGCTGCTGCTGTTGCTGCTGCTGTGGCCGCATGCCTGGCCCTCGGTGCTGCAGCACCCGAGTGTGACTTCTGACATTGCTGGGCGAAAAGGCAGGCAGACATAGCCAGAGGAATAGAATGAGAGGTGATGGGTAATATTTCATGAAAGAAGAGCATGGTGCCCGAGAAGGCCGAAGGGTATCGATATCTGGTGTGAGACACACAAGACATATGACATACCTGTGTTCACGGTAAGTCATGGTACTATAACAGGGAAAACCATGAACTCATACCTGAGAGGCGCTGCTGCCTTGCTGCCCGACGATGCAATTCCCACCACCTCCGCTCCCCTTCCTCTTCCCGCCTGCACACTCCCACCGACCCCCCGACCCCCACCGCCACCTGTGGTGCGTCCCCCTGCGGACCCCCCTGGCGCTGCCAGCCCCTTCGCCACGCCCCCGGAAGCAGGAGCCCTTGGGGGGGCATGTGGCTGGGCAGTTGTGGATGGGGGAGCGTGGGGTGTGGTCGATGGTGGGAGGGCAGAGGCATGCGGGTGCGCGTGTGCAGGGGTCTGGGGGAATGGCAGTGCCGACTGCTGCATGTGGGCGTGCATGTGGGGATGGGTGCGCGCATGGGTGTGCGCATGGGTGTGCGCATGGGAGTATGTATGGCTGTATGTGTGTGCATGGGGATGTGGATGGGTGTGTGGAGGTGCATAGGCGTGAGGTACCCCATGGGGAGATGAGCGGCCATGGCCATGCATGGAGGCCTGTGACATGCTCCCACCATGACTGTGTGCCATGGTTGTCTGGTTACCATGTGGCATGGACGTCTGGTTACCATGTGCCATGCCCGTCTGGTTACCATGTACCATGCCCGTCTGGTTACTGTGTCCCATGGCCGACTGGTTACCATACGGAGCACTGGCAGTGGGAGCAGCTGCAGCAGAGGCAGTGTGGAGAGTGGAAGATGCATGGAGGGAGGGGGAGGCAGCAGGGGCGGAGGGAGAAGCAGAGTGTGCAGTGGCAGTGCCTGTGCGTGCAGCAGTCATCGCAGCAGGTGTGGGTGAGGCCATGGCAGGGGCAGCAGTGGCAGCAGAGGACACTTGCATGGGGGCTGAGGGGACTTGGGGGATGGGTCCCGTGACAGGAGGAGGGGGGGTGGTGGAGAGAGAGGGCGGGGAGGCAATGGGCATGGAGTGGGGGAGCGGGAGAGTGGGAGGAGGAGTGGGTCTGCTGGGAAGGGGAGGGGTGTGGGGAGAAGGTGAAGGGGATTGGAAGGCTGGGTGAGGGAGCGTAGGGGAGAAGGAAGGGAAGTGTGGCAGGGAGGAGAGGGAAGCGTGAGAGGAGAGCGAGTGAGGGGGCACATGAGTGTGGGTTTGGGTTGATGGCGAGACACTGTTTGTGCACGGTGCTGATACCACTGCTGCACCGCTTGCCCCCTCTGCACCACTGCCAACCCCTACTGCCGCCGCTGCTGCTGCCGCTGCTGTTGATGCCATTGCACTGGTGACAGCTGGCAGTGTGGCTCCCGAGGCAGCATATGTGGCAGCAGCAGCAGTAGTGGGAGCGAGCGTGGGTGCGTCGACTGGTGGGAGCGGGGGGCTGCTGCTGAGATCCAAGGGGCTGTGGCGCCGCACAGGGAGCACACGGGGTGGGCGCAAGGCAGGCCAACGGGAGGATATGTTAAACAGAGGTGATGGGGGCGTGATGGACGGAATGGGAAGAAGGAAATCGGGTGGAGGGGTGGGGAAGGGGTAGAAGGGGGAGTGAGTGGAGTGGGGTGGCAGTTGCAAGAGAATATAGTAGCCTAGAAGCGGCAAGGCAATGGATGGGCGAGATGGGAGCACAGGAGAGTGCGTTACCTGTTGTACGTACCTGGGCGGCACCAGAGGGCGGGTGATGTGTGTTACACACCTGGGCGGCATGGGTGCGGAGGGTGAGGAGGCAGCGACGTTGGAAAGGACGAGGAGATGCGAGGCGTGTGGCTGCACCTGCTGCTTCAACTCCTGTGCCTCCAACTGCTCCCCCACGCATGCGCACATGCATGCATGCACATGCCAACACAGAAACGCACGCACACATGCATGCACACACACACGCACGCGCGCGCGCACACACACACAAACACACCCAATTACACACACACATGGGAACCCAGCACAGACATGCAAAAAACAGAAAGTCAGTGTACAATCAGGGCCAGCATGCACTTGTTGACTCATGGCCAGCACTCACGGCCAGCAGGCACTTGAGTTTCTTTTTAAGGACTCACGGCCAGCATGCACTTAAGTCTCTTTTTAAGGACTCACGGCCAGCATGCACTTAAGTTTCTTTTTAAGGACTCACGGCCAGCATGCACTTAAGTTTCTTTTTAAGGACTCACGGCCAGCATGCACTTAAGTTTCTTCCTGAGGACTCACAGCCAGCATGCGCGCATGGCGTTTGGAGAAGATTGTCAGCACTGCCTGCCGGTGCTCCCTCAACACGTCCTCCTCGCCCCCCACCCACTGCCCCCCGCCCCGCCCCTTCTCCTGCCCACCCACACAACGCAACAGGGGGCGATGGGTCGGTGATCTGACAGTTGACAGAATGCTGCAGTATGTTCAGAATTTGTCAGTGGCATGAGAGGGCGGTTGGAATGTGCAACGAGTGGTGCAGGAACGGGGAAAGGGCGGGATGGAAAGGGGAACCGAAGGTGGAGATGCGACTGACCTTTGAGGGCGCAGAGGAGGGGACAGGGGGTGAGGAGAGGAGGGCGCTGTGACGGCGCTCACACTGACTGGGACTGCGATACACGCCCTGGTGAGGGGCGCATGAGAACACATGATGGCGGCATGAAGTGCACGGAGGAGATCATGGGGTCACTGTGGTGTGTGAAAGGAATCAGCAAAGGCTGGCCGGGGACGAGCCTGCATGGAGAGGGAGGGCTCACAGTGAGGTGGGTGTCGAAATCTTTTTTTTTTTTCCCCTTCCTTCATGTGTGTTACAGGCTTCACTGCTTTGTTGACTTGCCTCGGTCACATACCACCTCAAATTGCATGATCACACAGACTACACCAGTGAGGTGCGTGATGGAGAGGGCGGGCTCACAGTGAGGTGCGTGATGGAGAGGGCGGCTCACAGTGAGGTGCGTGATGGAGAGGGCGGGCTCACAGTGAGGTGCGTGATGGAGAGGGCGGGCTCACAGTGAGGTGCGTGATGGAGAGGGCGGGCTCACAGTGAGGTGCGTGATGGAGAGGGCGGGCTCACAGTGAGGTGCGTGATGGAGAGGGCGGGCTCACAGTGAGGTGCGTGATGGAGAGGGCGGCTCACAGTGAGGTGCGTGATGGAGAGGGCAGGCTCACAGTGAGGTGCGTGATGGAGAGGGCGGGCTCACAGTGAGGTGCGTGATGGAGAGGGCGGGCTCACAGTGAGGTGCGTGATGGAGAGCAGCACATCAGTGACCAGGCGCCAGTTGGTGCCCAGGTCGCTCACCACTGCCACCAGCACCTGCCACCACGGCACACCACAAGGGAAGAGGCTTGGCATTCAAAATCCAGCTCGCCCACCTCTGCCACCAGCACCGCGGGGAGGGGTCAGTGATGGAAGATTGTGGCCGAATGGAACGTGAGACGCGGGGGGGAACAAGAAGGATACGTGCTTACGAACGAGGCATGTGACACCATGCCCATGGCCATGTCATGGCATGCACGCACCTGCTCCTCCATGCACGCACCTGCTCCTCCATGCACGCACCTGCTCCTCCATGGGAGACCATGGCAGGGCGTCATCGGCACCATCAGCATCGTCAGCAACATCGCTGCCAGGCGCGCGTGCAGCAGCGAGGTCAGTGCTGCCCGGAGACCCGCCCAGCACATCGCCATGGGCCGGCGGCAGAGGGAGAGCGCCTGCTGCCTCCACTTGCGAGGGGGTGGCGGCGGGCGGCAGGGCGTGCGCTCCTGGCGGTGAGGGCAGATGGTGGGGGGACTGGAGAGTGGGAGGGGGAGGGAGGGGTGTGGCAGAAATTAGAAAGAGTTTGAATGTGAGAGAAAAGTAAGGGTTAACCTGAGAGCATTCGCGTGAGAGGGAGTCACAGCAGAGACTAGACCGGAGCCACAGTTGTGCGCATCACCTATAAGTCCCCCTGCCTGCTGCCACTCACCGACTGTCGCTTGCTGATTTTCTTCTTCCCCTCCCTGCCCATGCCACCCGCCACCACGTCCCTCCTCCCGCCGCCCACCTCGCCCCCGGCCCGCCCCATGCATTCCGCCCACGCCTCCCCATCTCTACCATCCGTCTCCAGCCTCCCCACTTCACCCCCCTCTGCCTGCCCCTGCTTCCTCGCCCCAGCGAGCACGTGGGTGTGGGGGTGCAGCAGGGGTGTTATTGCAGCAGGTTGAGAGCCAGTGGCTGGTGGAGGGGAGAGAAGCAGAGATGCGAAGAGGGATAGCATTGGGGAAGGGGGAGGTGGGAGAAGTTGCGGACGGGAGGACAACAACAGTGTGAAATTTCACAGATGAGCAAAGGCCTTGTTCTAGCAAAGGAAACAGCGTGGTGGCCGGTGAAGCTGCAGCAGGAGTGGCAAGCAGCACGGCAAGCAGAATGGAGCAGCAGAACAGAGCATCGCCGAGGAGCAGTCGTGTGACACGTGGAGAGTGACCCACAGCACACCCGTTTCACCTGTGGCCAATGCCGCGCCATCAGCAGCAGCAGTGGCGTCGGAGGGAGCAGAAGCAGCCAGGCGAGGAGGGAGGGCGGGGCTGGCAGAGGGCGCAAATGTGACCTTTGGGGAAGCAGGAGGACCCTTGGGCTTGCGGTGAGCGGATGGGCGCTGGCGTTGCTGGCAGGGATGGGGAGCACACAGGGCAGAGAGGAGTGCAGGGCGGAGGGGAAAGAGATGGATGGTAGAGGGGAATGGATGGTAGAGGGGAATGGGTGGTAGAGGGGAATGGGTGGTAGAGGGGAATGGGTGGTAGAGGGGAATGGGTGGTAGAGGGGAATGGGTGGATGGTAGTGGGGAGTGGGTGGTAGAGAGTAGTGGATGGCAGAGGATAGTGCAGGGCGGGACATGCACGTCATGGTCCACACACATACCACAGCAGAACGCTTGACTTTACCTTGCCAGCCACAGCAACAGCATCCCCTGCTGCTGTTGTTGCCGCCGCTGCTCCCACTGCTGGGCTGCACACACTGCCTCCCTCACCACCACCCCCACCACCACCCACACTGCTTGCTCCCGCATCAGCACTCATCGCAACTCCCACCCCCCTCTGCCCCCCGGCCATCCCCCCACCACCCATGCGTTGCTGCTCCGCGCCCCCCTCCACCTCTTTCTCGCCTCTCCCACCCGCCACGTCCTGGGAAGAGAGGTCAGCGGAGGGAGACGCAGCCAACATGCCACCATCCTTGCTGCCCGCCTTCCCTCCCCCTCCCGTTGCTGCTGCTCCCGCTGCTGATGCAGCCTCCCTTGCGGCCACGCCCTGCCCTTGCTTCCCACCCCATGCGCCCTGCTGCATTGCCCCTTCCCCTTCCACACCAGCCCCCCCTCTCTCCCCCACTCCCAACGCCTTCCCCTTCTGCCCGCGCCCCTCCCCCTGCTGCTTCCCCTTGCCCCCCCTCCCCATGCCACCCACCTTCGTCCCACCCAGCCCCCTCCCTGCCCCTGCTCCACGTCCTCGCCCCTCACCCCCTCCCTTCGCCCCCACGCCTTTCATACCTTGCCCTCTGCCCAACCCTCCCCTGCCCAACCCCCCTCTGCCCGCGCCTGTGCTCCCTACTTGCTGTGCCGCCTCAACTACCCCCCCTGCACCACTGCCCTGCCCCTGCTGCACCTTTCCCCCCTCCTGTGCCCCCTCCGCCTGCAAACCCCCCATTCCCTGCATCCCTTCACCCGAACCTTCACCCCCCACCCTTGCAACACTCACCCCGCCCCTCTCCCCGCCCTCCCCATCTCCTGCCATTGACCCATGCCGCCCAGCACCCCCTGCCGCCTGCCCTGCTTGCTGCTGCCCCACCACCAGCCTTGCACTCGCCTCACCAGAGTCCCCATCGCTCCTCCTCCCCTCCACCCACCCCTCCACCTCCCCTTCTTTCTCCCCCCCCACGCCCTCCCCCCTTGCCTCGCCCCCCTTAACCTGCTGCAGCTGTGTGAGGGGTCGCTGCCTCACCTGCAATTGCTTCTTCCCTTGCTGCCTCGCCACTCCCTGCTGCCCCTTGTGCACCACCGCACTCACACCCCCCTGCTGCTGCTTCTGCCCCTGCACCCCCACCGCCACCGCCCTCTCGAGCACCCCCTCCTCCCCCTCCCTTGTGCCGCTCGCTCCCCCCACCACCTCTTGCCCACCTGCCCTCTCCCCGTCCACCCTCCCCTTGTCCTCTCCCCGTTTCTCCGTTCCCCCAACAAAATACCCCTCTTCCTTCACAGCTACCCCTGCCCGCCCGCCCATCCCCACTGGCCCATCCGAAATGGAAGCAGGGCCCCCAGCAGAGGCTGCGGTGGCAGCAGGGAGGGGTGAGGCGGAGGGAGCGTGCATGGGGATTGAGGCATGGGGTTGGGACAAGATGTGGGGGGAGGGGGACGGGTGGAGTGAGGGGAGGGGGTGAGAGGGGGAGGGGGAGAGCAGGAAGTCTGGGAGGAGGAGGGGGAAGGGGTCGGGGGAGGAGGCAGGGGGGAGTGTCATGTGGTCCTGTAAAGTGGGGGGAAGAGGGACGGGGTGCGGGAAAAGGGGGTTGAAAAAGGAAGCAGGAGGAAACGAGAGGGGTGGATAGGGGTGAGAAGGGAATGTAGCTGAGGGCAGAAGGGAGGGCGCAAGAAGAGGGAACGAGGGGGTGGAAGAGAGAGATGGGAGGATGGGCATGAACAGCAGATGCAAGGCGGGCGTACATGGGCAGAAAAGGCATACGTGGGCGGTACATGGGCAGAAAAGGCATACGTGGGCGGTACATGGGCAGAAAAGGCATACGTGGGCGGTACATGGGCAGAAAAGGCATACGTGGGCGGTACATGGGCAGAAAAGGCATACGTGGGCTGTACATGGGCAGAAAAGGCATACGTGGGCGGTACATGGGCAGAAAAGGCATACGTGGGCGGTACATGGGCAGAAAAGGCATACGTGGGCGGTACATGGGCAGAAAAGGCATACGTGGGCGGTACATGGGCAGAAAAAGCATACGTGGGCGGTACATGGGCAGAAAAGGCATACGTGGGCGGTACATGGGCAGAAAAGGCATTCATGGGCGGTACATGGGCAGAAAAGGCATACGTGGGCGGTACATGGGCAGAAAAGGCATACGTGGGCGGTACATGGGCAGAAAAGGCATACGTGAGCGGTACATGGGCAGAAAAGGCATACGTGGGCGGTACATGGGCAGAAAAGCCGTACATGGGCAGAAAAGCCGTACATGGGCAGAAAAGCAGTACATGGGCAGAAAAGCCGTACATGGGCAGAAAAGCCGTACATGGGCAGAAAAGGCCTACGTGGGCAGTACATGGGCAGAAAAGGCGTACATGGGGTGGAAAGGCGTACATGGGTAAGGCGGCCTTACAGGGGCGGAGTGGAGGGGCGGCATGAGGCAGAGCGCGAGGGCTGTGACGGCAGGCTGTGGCATGGGGAAGGTGAGTGGCGCCTGCTGGCCCCCGGGGTGCACACATGGGAAGAGGGGGAGGTGGAGGTGGGGAGAGAGAGGGAGGAGGGAGGCCCGCGGGGAAGAGGAGGGAAGGAGGGAGGGAGGGAGGGAGTGAGGGAGGGAGGGAGGGAGGGAGGGAGGGAGGGAGGGAGGGAGGGAGGGAGGGAGGGAGGGAGGGGGGGGAGGGGACTCAAGTGCATGCAAGGGATAAGAGCAGGGCGAATGGTGTGGAAGGCATGGGGCAAGGGGGGCATGGGAGATGGTGCATGAGGCATGATGCATGAGACATGGGGCATGTACGAGCCAAAAAAAGCTCACGGTGGGTGGGAAGCACGACCAACGGAAGCGCACTGCAACACACTTCCCTCACCCCCTCAACCCCTCGCCCGCTCGCACCTCACTCACCCATCACCCCATCATCACCTCGCCCCTCACCTCGCCCCTCACCTCCCACTCCTCACACCCCCCCCCCCCCCTTTCACCGCGCCTCTCACCTCGTCCACCAACGACCACCAGTCACTGCAGCTCATGTCCGCCCCTCGGCCCTCCTCCCTCTCTGGCGTCACCGGTGCACTCGCCCCTCTCTCTGCTGCGCCCCCTCCACCCTCTGCCCCTCCCTCCATGCCCCCTTCCCCCTCCGCCCGTCGCCCCTCTGCCCCTTTTTCCGCTGCCCCTCTGCCAGCCTCTCCCCCTGGCACCTCCACTTGAGCCCTCGCTTTTCTCCCCGCGCCCTTCCCCACCACGTCCCCATGCGCCCCCACCACGTCCCCATGCGCCCCCACCACGTCCCCATGCGCCCCCACCACGTCCCCATGCGCCCCCACCACGTCCCCATGCGCCCCACCACGTCCCCATGCGCCCCCACCACGTCCCCATGCGCCCCCACCACGTCCCCATGCGCCCCCACCACGTCCCCATGCGCCCCCACCACGTCCCCATGCGCCCCCACCACGTCCCCATGCGCCCCCACCACGTCCCCATGCGCCCCCACCACGTCCCCATGCGCCCCCACCACGTCCCCATGCGCCCCCACCACGTCCCCATGCGCCCCCACCACGTCCCCATGCGCCCCCACCACGTCCCCATGCGCCCCCACCACGTCCCCATGCGCCCCCACCACGTCCCCATGCGCCCCCACCACGTCCCCATGCGCCCCCACCACGTCCCCATGCGCCCCCACCACGTCCCCATGCGCCCCCACCACGTCCCCATGCGCCCCCACCACGTCCCCATGCGCCCCCACCACGTCCCCATGCGCCCCCACCACGTCCCCATGCGCCCCCACCACGTCCCCATGCGCCCCCACCACGTCCCCATGCGCCCCCACCACGTCCCCATGCGCCCCCACCACGTCCCCATGCGCCCCCACCACGTCCCCATGCGCCCCCACCACGTCCCCATGCGCCCCCACCACGTCCCCATGCGCCCCCACCACGTCCCCATGCGCCCCCACCACGTCCCCATGCGCCCCCACCACGTCCCCATGCGCCCCCACCACGTCCCCATGCGCCCCCACCACGTCCCCATGCGCCCCCACCACGTCCCCATGCGCCCCCACCACGTCCCCATGCGCCCCCACCACGTCCCCATGCGCCCCCACCACGTCCCCATGCGCCCCCACCACGTCCCCATGCGCCCCCACCACGTCCCCATACGCCCCCTCCTCTTGCTTCCGCTTCCTCTCCCCGCCACCATCGCCTGCTTTCCCCTCGCCTTCCCCCGAGGAGAGAGGGCGAGCCACAGCAGCAGCATAGGTTCTTGAACCTGCCGTGCTTTCCTCCTCTCTTCCCCCGTCTCTTCGCTCCCCTCTCCTCTCCTCCTCCCCTCCTCGTCCATGCATCGGCTCACACCCCGCCCTCCCCTCGCCTGCACCTTCCGCCCTCTCCCTACCCACCCTCTGCGCGCACGTGGCTAGGTGGCTCGCTGCTGCTCGCTTCCACAGCCGCTCCTGCCACCCATGCACCGTGGGGTGGGGTGGGGCGGGGTGGAGCGCAGGAAGGAGTTGGGTTGAAGAAGGGGTGGGGGACACAGGTTGGGCTGGAAATGCCGGGTACAGGCAAGATAAGGGCACTGGGAGCGAGGAGAGGGAAAGGATGAGTGTGGGCAGAGTGGGGAGTATGCAGCAGCAGAGCAGAGAGTGTGCACGTGCAGCAGAGACAGCGAGAAAGGCGCAAGAGAAGCACGGACGAGCAGTGAAGCGAGGGAGGGCACGGGGTAGGAGGGGCAAGCCGCGAGGGAGGGCACGTGGTAGGAGGGGCGAGGGAGTGGGCGGGGGAGGAGGAGGGCAGCACCTGTTGGAAATCAAGGGCGAGCCATGCCATCTCCTGCAGCACATAGTCCCACTGACTGCTGCCCCCCGCCCGCACCCTCCATGCGTCTCCCTTCTCTGCCCCGCCCTCCTCGCCCATCCCCATCTCCCTCCATGCGGCCCCGGTGCCTGCCTCTGCGCTGCCAGAGCCGCCAGCAGGAGCAGTGGTGGCGGAAGGGGAAGCTGCAGCGAGCAAGCGACGATTGGCCTGAGGACGGGGGAGGAGGAAGGGCAGAAAGTGGACAAAGGGTAAGTATGTGTCACTGTCCCACCACCCTCTCTCACTATCTTACCACGCCCTGCCTACCACACCACGCCCTGTCCCTTCTGTCTCTCTCACACACTGCCCCCCCACTCACCCAGATGCCATCAGCCTCCTCCAGCACGCACTCCTCATGCGCCCTCGCTGCTGCTGCTGCCACGCCCCGCCTCCGCCCCTCCTCCTCCTCCGCCCGCCTCCCCTCCCACACATGCCTCGCCACCCACTCCCCCGCCTCCCCGCCCCTCCCCACGCCCCCCCCTGCTGCTGCACCCCCTTCCGCCCCTCCTCCCCCGCCGCCCCACCCACTCCACCCTGCCCCGCCTGCTGCTGCCCGCCCAGCCACTCCCGCTCCCCCACGGCCCCCCTCGCCCTCTCCTCCTCCTGCCCCTGCCACGGCCTCTCCTCCCCTTCCACCGCCACTCCCCCCAGCCCCGCCCCCTTCCCCCCACGCATCTGACCGCGCTCCCTCCAGAGCATCAGGCAGGAGAGAGGAGAGCGAGGCGAGGGAGGGCAACGAGGGCAGGGAGGGCAGCGAGGGGGCGAGGGCGGAGGGCGAGGCTGCGAGGGCGGAGGAGGAGGAGACGGTGGGGATGGGCACAGAGGAGGGGTCGGGCATGGGGATGGGCACGGGCACGTGCGACAGGGGCGCGTGGGGGGTGGGTGGAGGGGCACGCTGCTCTGTGAGCAGCAGCCCGAGAGGGTCTCTGGATGCTGTAGGCGCGTGGCGCTGCTGCAGTTGCCCTGCCTGCCACTCATGCCCGCTGAAGCTGCTTGCCCTTCCCCCCCCCTCGCTGCTACCCTGCCCGCCTCCCCCTCCTGCCCTACCCCTGCCGCTCCCACCACCACTACCGCTCCCGCTACCACCGCCGCTGCCCCCACCATTGCCACTGCCGGCACCACCAGTGCCAGCTCCCATCTCCCTGTGGATTTCTGATGTGCCACCCGCCTCTCCAGCAGGCAGCGCGTGTGCTTGTGAGTGGGCACGCCCCGCCTCGTACGTGCGGCTGCTCTCGCCCTCCGCCCCCTCCTCCTCCCTCCCCCTCTTCCTCCCTCGCTCCATCCCGCCAACGCCCGACCGCCACCCATCCCCCCCTCCCTCCCCTTGACCCCTCACCTCCTCCGCTCCCTCCCCGCCACCCCTGCTTCCACCCGTCCCCCCTCCGCCCCCCTGTTCCCGCTCCCCCTCCCCCAGCTCTCCCCCAGCGGAACCACCAGGGGGGCTGGCGGGGAGGGTGACCTCGACGGGGATGGGGGCGCCTGAGAGGGAGGAGGCGAGGGGGCGGGGGCGCGGGGCGTGGGGGGGCAGGGCGGAGTGCAGGCGGGCGAGCATGTGCGAGTGCGAGTGCAGCATGGCCTGCAAGGGCGCCCCCACCTGCAGCGTCACCACCACACACTCGCCGTCACCCCCCTCCTCCTCCTCCTCACCCGTGCCCGCGCCCGCGCTGGGAGGGGGATTTGTTGTGTCTGTGGCGGTGCAGACGTGTTGCGACTGGTCTGCTGCGGTGCAGGTGTCATCGTCTGTATCCATACACACGACGTCAGCTGTGCCGTCATCATCATCGTCATCAACAACAGTGTGAGCATAAGCATGAGCATTCACACCATCCTCAGCACCTAGACTCAAAGCTCCTCCGTCAGCATCCATCTCACAAGCAGTCCATCTCCCCCTTTCCTCCTCCTCCCCCCCCTCCCCCTCCCCCTCGCCTCCTCCTCGACCATTCCCGTCCTCCCCCCCCTGTTGCTCCCGCACCGCCCTTCCCTCTACCACCACCCTATCGTCATGTGTCACTGCTTCGCTCCCACCATCCTGTCTCTCATCCTCCCCACCCTCCTCCCTCACATGCTCCGCGGCAGGGCTGCAGGCAGCGCACAAGGCAAGGCAGTGGGCACGGCGGGCATGCAGGGAGCAGGGCAGAGGGCGGGGGCATGAGGACAGGCTAGCGGATGCACGGCAGAGGCAGCGAGGGACGGGAAGCTCCTAGCAAAAGGACCAAAAGGCACATGGGGTGCATGTGTGGTGCAGCAGTGGGAGTGAGTGGAGTGCGCAGGGTTGGAGTGCTCTCAGCGTTCACGGTTCACCACAAGTGGGATGAGCAGTTACGTATGGGAGCGGGGTGGTTGGGGCATGAAGGGTTGGGTGACCGCACCTGGAGCAAGGCGGAAGGTCGACTCTGGTGGGCGCAGACGGTGGGGGGGAGGGGGAAGGGGAGGAGGCGGGGGAGAGCGGCAGCAGGAGGGGGGAGGGCAGGCGCGCGGAGAAGGGGAAGTCGAACACGTCCCCGCCCTGAGGGGGTGGGGTGGGGGGGCAGGCAAGCGCATGAGAGAAAGCGGGGGAGAAAGTGGGGGAGCAGGCGGAGGCAGCAGCAGCGGATCTTCCTTGTAGACGACTGACAAGCTCTCCCACTTCACTCACCTCCTCATACCCGCACCTCCTTCTCTCGCTTGCTTGCACTCACACCCGTGACCCCTCCGCGCTCACCTCCTCCAGGAATCGCAGCAGCTCCGCCGCGCACGCGCTGCGATCGTCACCCGCCGCCAATGCGCTGCTGGCGCGGGCGGGGGGAGAGTGGGGATGCGCGGGGTGGGGGAGAGGGAGGGTTGAGCGGGAGGCAGCGCGGACAGGAATGGGAGAGCGGAACGAAGGGAGAAGGGAGCGTGAGAACGAAGGGAAACGGCAGAACGCGGAGGTACGCTCGCAGTGGCACGTGGCAGTGGCGCTCAGTCAGGCATGGAATGGAGTGGTTTGGAGTGGTTAGGGTTACGGTTGTGTGCCGAACCCGTAACATGCACACGACCGCGCGTAGCAGCCAAAAGGAGCGGCGGAGGGGCAGTCCGTGCCTCTTGCGACATGCGCGGGTCAGGTGACATTGAACGCGCGGGTCCACGTACGCGGGAGCGGCGGAGGCGAGGGCGGCAGCGGCGCGGGACGAGCAGGCCGGCATCGCGTCGAGCCTTCGAGAGCGCTTCGGAGTGGCCTATTGAGCGCGCGACGAGTCACAGCGAGGACGGTGCGCCGCGGACAGCGGCACGCGCGGAGGGCGCGGGCGAAGATTCGTGCGCCATCGCCGTGCGCGGCTGGCAGTGCGTTGTTTGCGGGGACTCGCAACCGCTAGTCTGACGTGCAGGGCCTATGCAACGCATTATTTTCGCTCAATGTTGTACGATCAGGAATCTCCAGCTATGTGGGTATTTTGAAATCACATTTGTACTGATTTTTAGGCCAAGAATTTCTTCCTATTCACCGTTTCCTACCGAAACGATGCGTGTTTGTGGCGAAGCATCACCCCCCAGGTTGGTTTCTCTCGGCGTGCCAGTGGCCCCAGCATCTCATAATCCACTCCGCCGCCCTGCCCTGTCCTGCCACGCACCGCACCACTGACACCACCGGTCGCGCGCTCCCACCCGCAACCACGCCTCCCGTTCTGTCTCCGCGGCAAAAATACACGCGCGCGCAAACACGCACACTCCGCATTCTCTACGTTCGCTGCGCTCACTGCGTTCTTTCCCCCGCCTCCGCTCACTTCCGCCTCCGCCAATGGCGGCATCGCTTGCGCCACCGTGCCACTCCGCGCTCTCTCCGCCACCTCTCCGCCTCGCCGCGCGCAATTCGCCCTTCCGCGCCTCCTCCCTGCCGCTCCACCCGAGGGGGGTGATGCTCGGGCCGCACGGGGCGGTGCGCGGCGCGGCGCAGGGGGTGCGCGCGGCCGTGGCGGAGGGCGGAGAGCCAGCGCCGATGGGGCAGGTAACGCGGTACAACGACTCGCCCATCGACCTCGCGCTCATGGGGCTCTTCCGCCGCAAGATGGAGCAGCAGATCGGTGGTGAGCGGTGACGCGCGGTGTGCAGTGATGAGCGATGAGCAGTGATGCGGGTGACGAGTATTACAAATGGAGTAGTCGTTGCGCGTAACGCATCCGCGCCCTTGCTTCTTTGAATCCAGGCGAACGTGACCAACCGTGCCTCTTGCTCCCCTCCCTGCTTCATGGCATGGCGGCATGTCTGCTTCATGGCATGGCGGCATGTCTGCTTCATGGCATGGCGGCATGTCTGCTTCATGGCATGGCGGCATGTCTGCTTCATGGCATGGCGGCATGTCTGCTTCATGGCATGGCGGCATGTCTGCTTCATGGCATGGCGGCATGTCTGCTTCATGGCATGGCGGCATGTCTGCTTCATGGCATGGCGGCACGGCGGCATGGCGGCATGACGTCCCGGCGGCGCGGGGCCATCAGAGGTGGCGACGAGGAAGCGCGGGTACGAGGCGTTCGTGGAGGTGTCGCGGCGGGTGATGCAGGGGCGGTCAGCCGCGGAGCAGCGCGCCATCGTGGCCAACGTGCTCATGTCGCTGCTGCCACCCAACGCCCCCGCCACTGTCAGCCGCCCTTCCCTCCCCTCACTGCTCCCCTCCCGTCGCTGAGCCGCCTCGCCTCTCTACCCTCTCCCTCCCGAGCTCCTCTCGTTGCCCCAATGCAGCGTGCTCCTCACCCTGGGATGTGCATGCCGCTGTGCCATTGCATCCACTTCTCTCGCCGTTCCTGCTCCTCTCCTCGCTTTCCCCGCATTCCGCATTCCTTTCCGCCCAGCCACCATTTTCACTCAGTTCATTCCCTTCTGCAGCCCCACCCCCCTCGTCCCCACACCACCATTTTCCCAACCCCCCTCTCCCCCGCCCCGCTGTCCCCCAGTTCCGCAAGCTGTTTCCCCCCAGCAAGTGGTCAGCGGAGATCAACGCCGCCATCACCGTGCCGGGCTTCCAGTGGCTCGTGGGGCCCTGCCAGGTGAGGCTTTAAGTGGCTCGTGGGGCCCTGCCAGGTGAGGCTTTAAGTGGCTCGTGGGGCCCTGCCAGGTGAGGCTTTAAGTGGCTCGTGGGGCCCTGCCAGGTGCGGCTTTAAGTGGCTCGTGGGGCCCTGCCAGGTGAGGCTTTAAGTGGCTCGTGGGGCCCTGCCAGGTGCGGCTTTAAGTGGCTCGTGGGGCCCTGCCAGCTGAGGCTTTAAGTGGCTCGTGGGGCCCTGCCAGGTGAGGCTTTAAGTGGCTCGTGGGGCCCTGCCAGGTGAGGCTTTAAGTGGCTCGTGGGGCCCTGCCAGGTGAGGCTTTAAGTGGCTCGTGGGGCCCTGCCAGGTGAGGCTTTAAGTGGCTCGTGGGGCCCTGCCAGGTGCGGCTTTAAGTGGCTCGTGGGGCCCTGCCAGGTGAGGCTTTAAGTGGCTCGTGGGGCCCTGCCAGGTGAGGCTTTAAGTGGCTCGTGGGGCCCTGCCAGGTGAGGCTTTAAGTGGCTCGTGGGGCCCTGCCAGGTGCGCCTGTGCCCGCCTTGCGTGCCGTGCCACTCTTGCTGCACCATGCCACTCGTGCTGCACCATGCTGCATGCCATCTGTCTCACGGCTGCCAATCTTTCTGTGCTCCTGTCTCCCCTCGCCACGCGTGCTGCCTAACGCATTCTCATTCCTGTGTCCTGCGTGCTGTGCCCTGTTCGCTTCTCTCTCGGTGCGCTCGCCCTACCCGCCATGCCCTGCTCTGCTGCTGCTGTTGCCCATCGCTGCTGCTGTTGCTGCTGTGCGGGGGACAGTTGAAGGAAGTGGAGGTGAACGGGCAGAAGCAGATGAGCGGCGTGCACGTCACCAAGTGCAGGTGATGCTGCCCTCCCTGCTTTTGCCCACCTCTGCCCACCTCTTCCCACCTTCGCCCACCTGTTTCTTGTCGTTGCAAGCCTCATGGCCTCATGCTCCGCGTGGCTCTTCCACGTGTCAGCTCACCACGCACACAGGCTTTGGTCGTGAAGCCAAATTTCAACTGCACTGCTTGCGCCATTCCCACCCGCCTTCCTTGCCACTGCCACCCCCCTCCGTCTCTGCACACCTCCTGTATGCGCCACACCATACGCCCCGCTCCGCCACTCCCCCTTCCCCTCTTCCCACCCCCCCTGCGGTGTGGCTGTGCAGGTACCTGGAGGTGAGTGGGTGTGTGGGCATGTGCGTCAACATGTGCAAGCTGCCCACTCAGGACTTTTTCACCAATGATTTTGGCCTGCCCCTCACCATGACACCCAGTACGTCTCCCCCTCACCATGACACCCAGTACGTCTCCCCCTCACCATGACACTCTGTACGTCCCTCTTTTCGAGACGTCTAAAAAACAATGACCAATACGCCCCCCCCCTCGGCATGACTCCCAGCACGTCCCACCCTAGCACTGCCTTGCTTCACTGGTCCAGTTGAGTTCTCTCACTGCATGCCTCCCTTCCCTCTTCACCACTCTCCTCTGCTCTACGCCTTGCACTCACCCAAGCATGCTCTCGCACAACCACCCACTTCCCACCGCCCACCCTCCACCACCCCTCCCTTCCCCCCATGGCAGACTTCGAGGACATGAGCTGTGAGATGGTGTTCGGCCAGAAGCCCCCTCCCCTCTCCAAGGTGACTTTTGAGTCGACTCAAAACCCAACAAGCACCCTCCACTCCCCCCTCCTTCTCCCCCTCCCCCCCCCCACCGGGCAGACTTTGAGGACATGAGCTGTGAGATGGTGTTCGGCCAGATGCCCCCTCCCCTCTCCGAGGACCCCGCCCTCTCCCAGCCCTGCTTTGCCGCTCTCTGTGAGTCTCTGCCTGGCGAGATGGTGTGCTGGCATGGTGGCATGGCAGGATAGTAGCATAGGAGCATGGTGGCTACAAAAAATAAAACCAGTTCCAGTACCCAGCTGGAATGGTACCGTATAAGGCCATGTTTGTGTCGTGCTGGGTAGGCGCACCCATACCATGGACAGCATCTGTAGCCCTTAAGGAGACCCCTTGGGGCCATCCTAGTGTCCACTCCCAACAGTGGCACAGTGGCACGGTGGCATGGGGACAGGTGCGTTGCGCCCTGAGCATCACGCATGTCGCACGGAGCCAAGCTCAAGCGGCACCTGTGTCAGCCCACATGGCTGCTGCTGCCTCCCCACGGGCCATGTGGCACGTTGCCTTCTGAGAATTGTCAAAAGTTTCTCCACAGGGCCATGGGTGGGATGGGGCATTGCTGCAATTTCTCATCACAATTCCTTTTGCCACTGCATTGGCTGTCCTGTGTGCCCTCCCCATGCCCATGCCTGGCAGGCTCCATGGCCCAACCAGAGGCTGACAAGTGTCCGCGTGTTCCCGATGCCACACCCTGATGCAGTACTCAAATCGGCTCGTTCACAGTACCTGTCTGTAATTATCTTGATAGACTTTCAGCGAATCCCTTAATGTTATGGCTCTTGCATATAATTATTTACCAGATACCCATAGTCACTCGCTTGTTTGGAACCTCATGTGTGGCTTGCATTCGTCCGTGGGCCATTATGATGCGACATGCGCACATGCCATGGGTCAGTATGGGTCTTGCAGCGTACTAAGTGCCCTAAAGGATGCTGCACGAGGCCTCTTCTGGAAGGGGGTGAAGCACGGGGATGGTTCAAGAACAGTTCAAGAACACACACTCTAGATTGGATCGCGTCCGATTTAGCAGCTCGAGATAAGCAGCAACTCAATATCAACTCAACGGACACACACGACAGCATGGTAACAAGGCAATGGGTGGAAAAACAGAGGAGAGGAGTGTAGAGTGGTGAGCGGCCGAGCCCTATCCACTGCGGCCCCGCAACACACGACAACAGCACAGCAACCCTTGTGATTGTGATGATCCCAGGGGCTGCCTGCAGTGCAGTGGGAAGAAACTGCTCCACATGCCAGGATCGCACCAGAGCAGCAAAACACATCACCACCCCATCGCGCATCAGCCCTACCCCTATCAAACGTTGCCCCACCCCATGTGATGTAATCCCGTGAGGGCAGGGAGCAGGGGGTCAGAGCAGCGTGCAGCACCCACCCTGTGCGTCCATGGTGCCGCCCAGGCCCTGCTGCAGCGCCTCCAGGCGCGCCACCACCTGAGTGAACTCAGGGCGCTTCTCTGCATCCGCATCCCAACACTCCTGCATCAACGCTGCTAGCTCCGGCTCACACCCCGCTGGCACCTCCGGTCGCATGTTCTGTGATGGGGGGAGGAGGGGAGGGGAGTGGGTGGGGATGATGGGATGGAGGAGATGGAAGATGAAGCTATCAAAGGGAAGGTTGCTTGGTCGTCACTTGAAAAGGGAAAACAGCAGTGGGTGAGCATTATGAAAAGTCATGAGGGCACATGTGTAGAGGCATGGGGATGGGCATAATGATGGGCATGGGGATGAGCATGGGGGCAGGCACTGGAGGCACAAGTGGGGGATGAAGGCAGCAGTGTGCACAGCTGGATTCTTCAACCTCTACCTCCAGCCTGCACACACTCTTTCTGCCCTCTGCTATCTGTTCTCTATTCTCTGCGTTCATGTGTTCGTTCTACATCACTTTATCTGTGCAAACGAATGCTTCCCTGTGCGCCCACAGTTCATCCTCAGACCCACCCGCCCACCGCCCGCCCCCCGACCTTGTTGACAAGTGTGCACTCATCCATCCCACCCACCTTGTTGACGACGTTGAAGGCGAGTTGGATGAAGGTGAGCCCCTTGAACGGCAGGTCGCTGGTGACCAGCTCCCACAGCACGATGCCGAAGCTGTACACGTCCACGCGCCGCGTGTACGGCTTGTGGTCTATCACCTGCACAGAGGGGGGAGGGGGGGACGGGTGCGGATGGGAAGGGGAATCGAAGAGTGAAATGCGAGTGACCCACAGCATTATGCTCTCCCAAGCTGTACCCGTCCACCTTGCATGTGTCCGGCCTGTGGTCGATCACCTGTGCGTGTGAGAAGCGGGGTAGGGGGAGGGAGCTGAAAGGGGAGGGAAATTCTTGCGTTAACCGTGATTTGCCCACAACAGCATGCCCGCTGAAGCTATACACGTTCACCTTGCGTGGGCATGGCTTGTGCTCTCTATCACCTATGCGTGAGAGGGGGTGGGGGGGGGGGGGTGTGGTAGTGTCATTGGAGGGCGCATGCATGGGGAAGTGCATGGGGCCCGCATTGGGGGGCAGGGGAGGCACATGAAGGGCGCGCGGTGGGCACATGGGGATGCATGGGGGCTTGCACGGGGACATGTATGGATGGAGGGACGCACGCATCTCATGTACTCACATGCAACCGCTGGCCAGCTCACCTCAGGCGCCATCCAGCTCACCTCAGGCGCCATCCAGCTCACCTCAGGCGCCATCCAGCTCACCTCAGGCGCCATCCATCGCACGGTGCCGGTCTCGCAGGTCATGTCGTTGGGGTTCTTGGCCTCCGTGCGCGCGACGCCAAAGTCGGCGATCTTGACGGTGCCCTTGTGGTCCAGCAGCAGGTTGTCGGACTTGAGATCGCGGTGCACCACATCGCGCGCATGCAGGTAGCTGTGACGGGGGAAATGGGGAAGGGAGGAAGAGGGGGAATGGACGGGGTTGTGTGGGAGACGGGGGAGGAGGAGGAGGAAAGCAAGCAGAGGAAGCACGACCGCCCCCTTGTGGTCCAGCAGCAGGTTGTCGGACTTGAGATCGCGATGCACCACGTCGCGCGCATGCAGGTAGCTGGAAAGTTGAAAGGGGGGGTGGAATGGAAGGGGGAAAAGGGAAGGGGTTGGGGAGGAGGGGAAAGGGGGAAGGGGAAAGGGGAGGAGGGGGGGAGAGAGGTGGGGGGAGAAAGAGGGGCGAAAACCCGGGGCAGCAACCACTTTCTCCTCCATCAACGGCCATTCATGCCCCCAATCCCCAGCTCTCATCTATTTCCTTCCCAACCTGCCCCAACCACCCTCCTCCATGCCCAACCCCCTCACCCATCCCAACCACCCCTCTTTCTCTTACACTCCCCTTCCTCCCCACTCCCCCCTTTCGGCGCACCAGAGGCCGCGCGCGATGTGCAGCGCGAGGCGGACGCTCTCCTTGGGCGGAAGCTTGCCGCGGCGGGCGAGGTACCCGCGCAGAGTGCCCCCGCCCATGTACTCCGTCACGATCGCCCACAGCGGCTGCCCCGGCGGCGGCTTCGCGTCGCTCGGCGCGCGGATGTTCCCCGCGTTCAGCGACGCGCCTATGAACTGGGCGGGGGAGGGGTGGGGGATGAAAAAGGGGAGGGCGGGGAAAGGTGGGAGAGAAGGGAAAGAGGGGAGGAGGGCAAATGCGGTGGGAGCGAGTGAATAAGGGGATGGGGAGGCACACTACAGAGCATTCTGGATTGCTAGGTCCATTCCATGCTGTTATCAACACGACGTAGGCGTGCGACGGTGAATACCTGCACGGCATTCGCGTAGGACTGTGTGTTTGGGGTGCGAGAGCGTGCGACATCGCAGTATCGCAGTACCTGCACGACATTGGGGTGGCTGAGCGTGTGCCACACTTTAATCTCCTGCAGGAAGGAGCTCTTGAGTCCCTCCAGGTCTTTGGGCGCCATGTCCGCCGGCACGTTGAGCAGCTTCACCGCCACGTCATCGCCCTCGTACAGCCCGTGAAACACCTTCCCGAACGCGCCCGCCGCCAGCTGATTCGTGCACATCACCTGGGGGCGCGGCAGGGTTGTTAGAGAGGGAGAAACGGGCGAGGGGTGCGCTGAGAAAAAGGTGATGCGACGACAGAGGCGAGTGAAACACCTTTCCGAGCGCCCTACCACTCACTTTGCTCATATCCAGCGTCCATGGCGCCGCGCCTCCGCTCTCATCCGCTACCTTCGCCGCCGCCTTGCCCATTCCGCCCTCCGCCTTCTCCGCCGCTCCCCCGTCCGCCTTCCCCTTGGCGGCTGCGCCTCCCCCCCCTGCCAGCGCGTCCATGGTGCTCAGATCCAGCAGGTCCGCGCGCACCATTCCGCCGCCCTCCGTCCCCATCTCCGCCGCTTTCTTTCCGCTTCCGCTTCCGCTTCCGCTTCCGCTTACCGTGCGACTGATTTATCAAAACTGCCTCGTCTTTCGCTTTCACTCAGCGCAAGCCCTCGGCTCTCCTCCAATCCTTCACCAAGCATGCGCGAATCTCAATGAGCAAAGCGACTTTCGAGCGACTCAAAGGTCTTCGTCGTTGCTCCAGTCTTTCACCGAGCATGCGCCATTCTTAACGAACAGCGACGGAGGTCTCCGTGACTTTGTCTCGCGGGAGTCTATCCGACGGTCGTCAAACGGAAGCCGTCCGATCCGCTTCTGCGTGCTGGCTTTCCGCAACGCGCTGCGGGTTCAACTACTAGAGGGCGACGGGAATTCATAGGGCGAATTCATGGCGACGGGTGAGTTGGAGCTGGAGCGCACTGCGATACGACGCCCGATGCCCGATGAAGCTTCGCTCCGTTCTTCCTGCACCCGTGCGAAGCCAGCATGCGTCGCGATTGGCTGTCACTGACACCCGTGGTTCAGCGTGCACTGCATTGCGGTGTTCTACTCCGATGCTCGCAGGAAGAACAAATGTTATTTAAATGCACTTCGTTTGACTACTTAATAGTCCACCGAAATAGACGTTCTTTGGAAAGAAGAGCGAGGTTTCAGGGGCATGCAGCAGAAATAACTGGAAGGCTGAAACAAGCATTTAGTTCCCGAGTGCACAACTGATAAGACCAGATTGTGCCACCTGCTGCTGCTGGTGTGAGTGCAGCAAACGAGCACGCAACTCCCTAGAGGAGAGGATGAAACAACTCGAGGAGGCGAGGGGAGAGAGGAGAGGATGAAACCAACTCGATCCAACCCAATCGCGGTTTATCTTTGACACCAAAGAAGCAGCAATTGAATCATGCTGCTGACAAGGCAGAGACGAAAAACGGGTAGCCTGGTACGGAACATACCACGTGCGAGTTCCGATTGGTAGATAATGCCCGCCGGAATACACGTGGCCCGCTTTTGTTGCCTAAAGAAGTGCCTTTTCGTCCCACGTGAAGCCATTTACACGACAAAGCAACGCTATACAGAGAGAGCGATTTATATTTAGAGCTCTTCTGAACGTATACGGTCTTAGACCTCATAGATGCTAACTCATATATTATCGTATAATAGACCTCACTTGGCTGTAGATTCCATCCCTCGACTTTCAATTTCGCTATTGAATGGCATGCCAATAACCTCATGTAAGCACAGCTATATGAGAGTAATTAATCTATGTTCCTACACCAATATTGATGGTGGAACGAGACAATAGCTACACTACTAGCTCTTGGGAGATACCGTACCTCAGTCCTACCTAGGTGTGTAAGATATTCCATGGCCTCAGCCTACGTGGCATAAGCAGGCTGGTCAGCCGTGGGGTCGTCTTGAGAGGGCAGCCAATGGGAGGTGAGGCGCTTAAAGCGTGTTGCTGCATCCACCAACACTCTCTTTAACGCCATGCCTAGTGCAGCAAGCAGCACAGCCAGCGCTGCCAGCACCACCCTCACCTTGAGCACCACACTGCCGCCCATGCGCCCAAACGCTGCTCCCAGCAACAGCCACAGCCGCTTCCTCCTCGCCACCGCCTCCGCTGCTGTCGCCCTCCCCTCCCTCTCCTCCCACTCACTCTCACTCCCACTCCCACTCCCACTCTCGTACCCACTCTCACTCCTGGACACACCAGCCACTCCCACACTGCCAGGTGGCTGTCTCTGATTGGCAAAGCCCAGAGCGGCAGCAGGCGGGGGGGGCGGGGGGGAGGGGGCGAGGAGGCGGGTGGGCGAGGAGGAGAGCTGGGAGGCAGTGATGGCGTCGAGGGGCAGCTGGGCCACTCCCAGTGAGGCGCACAGCGCGTCTGCCACCACGCGTGCCAGCTTGTCCCGTGCCACTTCTGCTTCTGGGGATACAAACGCCTCTGCCAGTGCACGCATGTCCTGGGAGAGCGTGGTTGTGGTTACGGTGGGGTGAAGTGGGGTGGAGTGGGGTGGAAAGAGGTGGTGTGAGGTGGGTATATAGGGCTGTTTGGTTAGAACCAGGGATGCGCACAGCGCGTCCGCCACCACGCGTGCCAGCTTGTCCCGTGCCACTTCTGCTTCTGGGGATACAAACGCCTCTGCCAGTGCCCGAATGTCCTGGGAGAGAGCAGAGTTGGGGGATGAGATGGGGTCCGGTGGGGCGGAGTGAGGTGGGGTAGGGTGGACTGCATTTATGGAGAGTTGTTTGGTTAAAGCCAGCGAGGCATGCCCGGCAGCTCCCGGGGTGGGAGGGAGAGGAGTGTGGGGGCGAGTGCGAGTGCGAGACCCATGCTTCTGAGTTTTAGCGCCCACCTGTAATCACGCGCGTTTGTGCCCCTGGGGACAAGAAGGCATCGAAGCACGACCCATAAACAGCGGGACAGGCACGTGATGTGGGGAGCGGAAGCAGGTAGCCTGGGCAACAAGGGAACGACCTCATACCGACTCGAGGATGACTTGGCGCACACTGGCAGCGTGTCTAAGAAGAGAAGCACATTCAACATCAGCGCCGCAGGGGGGTTGGTTTCAGATTACCAAGGCAGGTGTAAGCGGAGAAGCAGTACAGGAGGGGGGTATCATACCAACTACAAGGAAACCTACCGACTCAAGGATGACCCTCCTGGCGCTGGCAGCGTGTCTGGACAGCAGCACATCCATCACCAGCGCGGCCGGGCTGGGCGTGGCGCGGGGAGAGGCGGCGCCAGCAGTGGCGGCAGAGGAGGAGAGGGGGGAGGCGCCGGGCATGGGGGGCATGCCGGGGATGGGGGATTGCAGCGACGGCATGGCCAGTGATGCCACCAGGTCGCTGCATGGGTGGGGAGGGGAGGGGGGAGGGCGTTGGAGTGGAGGAGCACAGTATGGGCACGAATGGGAGGATGGGAGGGGGAGATGAGGTGCCACAATGGAGGAGCAGCAGCGAGAATGCAGAGAGAGGGTGCGACGCCTCTTGGCATTTGCACATCAGATCCTCCCCCCCCCCACACCCTCCTCCCTCCCCCTCACCGCTGCCGCCCTCATCCCACGTACCGCTGGGCTTGTGTGGAGCTGGCAGCAAAGGAGGCGAATCGCTCCCACCGTAGCTTGCCCTCTCGTGTTTGGACGAGCTGCGGTGAGGGAGGGAAGGAGGGTGGAAGCGGCGGAGTCAAGTCTTCATGTATCACGTCTCTTTTGAGGCGTCTCAAATCGAAATTCCAACAAGCCCACAGTGCAACACCCTTAATACCATGACCCACCTGCCACACCCCCTCTCCCAACCCTTTCCCTTCCCCTTTTAAAACCCTCCCTACCCCTCTCCCTCCACCTCCCCATCCACCCTCACCTGGCGCAGCACGTGGCGCGACGAGGGTGAGCTGTCAGTGAGGAGACGGCGCACCACGTAGGGGTAGGCTGAGGCGAACACTCGGAAGGACGGGTCCACTGCCACGCCGATGCCTGCAGGGATGGGCACGGGCATGGGAGAGAGTGCACTTAAACGCACTGAACGGCCACCACGTAGGGGTAGGCTGAGGCGAACACTCGAAAGGACGGGTCAACCGCAACATAGGGGTCGATGCCTGCATGCACGCGGATGGGCACGGGAGAAGAACCACTTAAAAGCGCAGCATAGGGGTAGGCTGGGGCGAACACTGGGATGGCAGTGGAAGGAGAGGAGAGAGACGGACATGCGATGATTGTGCAAGCAAGCAAGGAGTGAACTCGATGGTAGCGTGGGGCTGGTGAGGAGAGGGGCGGTGGAAAAGGCCCCTTCAAGGGACAAGAGCGATCAGCACGAGGGTGAAGTAAGTGGGGGGGGGAGAGCTGTGGCAGCGAGGGAAGTGGAGGTGGGTGACAGAGAGGGGGCAGGGGGCACCTTCGAGCGAGGGAGCGCAGCACGAGGGTGTAGTACAGGGGCAGGCGGAAGGGAGAGTGGTGGCAGAGTGATGGATGGCAGAGAGAGCTGTGTCAGACAGACAGACGGCAGGGGAGGGTGAGCACCTTCGAGGGAGGCGAGGGAGCGCAGAACGAGGGTGTAGTAGGGGGGGAGGCGGAAGCGGAAGCGCAGCGCCATGCGCCATAGCTCACTCGTCACCTGCCATGGGGGAACACGAGGACGGGTGGGCAGGGGGATGACGTGGCATGGGGCATGGGAGGAGGGGAGCGTGGGGACCTTACAAGGAGCAGGAGGGCGAAACGGAGTGGCAGAGCGGACAGAAGTGGGAGGGGGGACAAGGGGTGCGAGGAACGCAAGACTGGTTGAGAGAGCACTGCCAGTGGTAACAGCATTGCAGGTTCAGAGAGCAAGGCGCACCTGTCCGAACTGCATGGTGGGGGCGCCTCCTGAGGCGGCTCCTCTCTGCCGGCCACGACCAAACGCCTCCTCCAATGCCTGCCAGAGGGCACACAGGGGTGGGTGCCACGGGGTGTTGTTACTGGGTGGGATACAGAACGCAGTGGCAGGATAATGAGCCGGTTCAGGCATGCGAAAGCGGAGAGTGGCAATGGGACCCACGGCATGGGCAGGTGGAGTGCAGCGCTCATGAGCGTGAAGGGGGGTGTGTCAGAACCCACCATGGTGAGCGCGCGCCTGTCAGTGGAGGGTTTGAGCACGTCCATGGCAGCGAGATCAGCTGCCGCATGCTCCCCTCGCCTTGTGGGCATTAGAAGAAGCATGCCACAGGATTCACCGTAGTAACAGCATGGATCAAGAGAGAGTGCGTGTGAGAACCCACCATGGTTAGAGCACGCCTGTCGGTGGTGGGTTTGAGGACATCCATGGCAGCGAGGTCGGCCGCCAGCATGCTCCACTCGCCTTGTGGGCACATGCACATGCAAATGCACATACACATGCCAGCAATACTCACCATGGTGAGGGCGCGGCGGTCGGTGGTGGGCTTGAGCACATCCATGGCAGCGAGGTCGGCAGCCAGCATGCTCCACTCGCCGTTCACCAGATGCGCCACCGCTGCCAGCATGGCCTGCTGGTGCTGCCTCTCCATGCGACACAAGAGACCAAAATCCAGGTAGCTGGAGAGGGTGGAGGTAAGGGAAGAGGCGAGGGGAGGCAGAAGGAGGTGAAAGAGGATTTGAAGCACCAGTGCTGCCGCTCCATACGACACAGCAGGCCAAAGTCCAGAGAGCTGGAGGGTGGAGGAGAGGGAAGAGGCGAGGAGAAGCAGAGGGAGGTGAAGAACATGGCCCCATGCAAACACCTGTGCAAACATGGCCCCATGCAAACACCTGTGCAAACATGGCTTCCTGGTGCTGCCGCTCCATTCGACACAAGAGATCAAAGTCCAGGTAGATAGAGTGTGGAGAAAAAGGAGGAGGTGAGGAGAAAAAGAGAGAGAAGCTTAGAGGCACCACCTGCTGGTGTGTGGGTGTAAGGCGCCTTCAGTTACTCACCTAAGCAGGCGCCACCAGTAACACACCTAGGCAGGCGCCACCAGTAACACACCTAGGCAGGCGCCACCAGTAACACACCTAGGCAGGCGCCACCAGTAACACACCTAGGCAGGCGCCACCAGTAACACACCTAGGCAGGCGCCACCAGTAACACACCTAGGCAGGCGCCACCGGTAACACACCTAGGCAGGCGCCACCAGTAACATACCTAGGCAGGCGCCACCAGTCCAGTAACACACCTAGGCAGGCGCCACCAGTAACACACCTAGGCAGGCGCCACCAGTAACACACCTAGGCAGGCGCCACCAGTAACACACCTAGGCAGGCGCCACCAGTAACACACCTAGGCAGGCGCCTTCAGTAACACACCTAGGAAGGCGCCTTCCGCAACACACCTAGGAAGGCGCCTTCAGTAACACACCTAGGCAGGCGCCTTCAGCAACACAGCTAGGCAGGCGCCACCAGTAACACACCTAGGCAGGCGCCACCAGTAACACACCAAGGCAGGCGCCACCAGTCACACGCCTAGGCAGGCGCCACCAGTAACACACCTAGGCAGGCGCCACCAGTAACACACCTAGGCAGGCGCGACCAGTAACACACCTAGGCAGGCGCCACCAGTAACACACCTAGGCAGGAGCCTTCAGTAACACACCTAGGCAGGCGCCACCGGTAACACACCTAGGCAGGCGCCACCAGTAACACACCTAGGCAGGCGCCTTCAGTAACACACCTAGGCAGGCGCCACCAGTAACACACCTAGGCAGGCGCCACCAGTAACACACCTAGGCAGGCGCCTTCAGTAACACACCTAGGCAGGCGCCACCAGTAACACACCTAGGCAGGCGCCACCAGTAACACTCCTAGGCAGGCGCCACCAGTAACACACCTAGGCAGGCGCCACCAGTAACACACCTAGGCAGGCGCCACCAGTAACACACCTAGGCAGGCGCCACCAGTAACACACCTAGGCAGGCGCGACCAGTAACACACCTAGGCACGCGCCACCAGTAACACACCTAGGCAGGCGCCACCAGTAACACACCTAGGCAGGCGCCACCGGTAACACACCTAGGCAGGCGCCACCTGTAACACACCTAGGCAGGCGCCACCAGTAACACACCTAGGCAGGCGCCACCAGTAACACACCTAGGCAGGCGCCACTGGTAACACACCTAGGCAGGCGCCTTCAGTAACACACCTAGGAAGGCGCCTTCCGCAACACACCTAGGAAGGCGCCTTCAGTAACACACCTAGGCAGGCGCCTTCAGCAACACAGCTAGGCAGGCGCCACCAGTAACACACCTAGGCAGGCGCCACCAGTAACACACCTAGGCAGGCGCCACCAGTCACACGCCTAGGCAGGCGCGACCAGTAACACGCCTAGGCAGGCGCCACCAGTAACACACCTAGGCAGGCGCGACCAGTAACACACCTAGGCAGGCGCCACCAGTAACACACCTAGGCAGGAGCCTTCAGTAACACACCTAGGCAGGCGCCACCAGTAACACACCTAGGCAGGCGCCTTCAGTAACACACCTAGGAAGGCGCCTTCCGCAACACACCTAGGAAGGCGCCTTCAGTAACACACCTAGGCAGGCGCCTTCAGCAACACAGCTAGGCAGGCGCCACCAGTAACACACCTAGGCAGGCGCCACCAGTAACACACCTAGGCAGGCGCCACCAGTCACACGCCTAGGCAGGCGCGACCAGTAACACGCCTAGGCAGGCGCCACCAGTAACACACCTAGGCAGGCGCGACCAGTAACACACCTAGGCAGGCGCCACCAGTAACACACCTAGGCAGGAGCCTTCAGTAACACACCTAGGCAGGCGCCACCAGTAACACACCTAGGCAGGCGCCACCAGTAACACACCTAGGCAGGCGCCTTTAGTAACACACCTAGACAGGCGCCACCAGTAACACACCTAGGCAGGCGCCACCAGTAACACACCTAGGCAGGCGCCACCAGTAACACACCTAGGAAGGCGCCTTCAGTAACATACCTAGGCAGGCGCCACCAGTAACACACCTAGGCAGGCGCCACCAGTAACACACCTAGGCAGGCGCCACCAGTAACATACCTAGGCAGGCGCCACCAGTAACACACCTAGGCAGGCGCCTTTAGTAACACACCTAGGCAGGCGCCACCAGTAACACACCTAGGCAGGCGCCACCAGTAACACACCTGGGCAGGCGCCACCAGTAACACACCTAGGCAGGCGCCACCAGTAACACACCTAGGCAGACGGCACCAGAAACACACCTAGGCAGGCGCCACCAGTAACACACCTAGGCAGGCGCCACCAGTAACACACCTAGGCAGGCGCCACCAGTAACACACCTAGGCAGGCGCCACCAGTAACACACCTAGGCAGGCGCCACCAGTAACACACCTAGGCAGGCGCCACCAGTAACACACCTAGGCAGGCGCCACCAGTAACACACCTAGGCAGGCGCCACCAGTAACACACCTAGGCAGGCGCCACCAGTAACACACCTGGGCAGGCGCCACCAGTAACACACGTAGGCAGGCGGCACCAGTAACACACCTAGGCAGGCGCCACCAGTAACACACCTAGGCAAGCGCCACCAGTAACACACCTGGGCAGGCACCACCAGTAACACACCTAGGCAGGCGCCACCAGTAACACACCTAGGCAGGCACCACCAGTAACACACCTAGGCAGGCGCCACCAGTAACACACCTAGGCAGGCGCCACCAGTAACACACCTGGGCAGGCGCCACCAGTAACACACGTAGGCAGGCGGCACCAGTAACACACCTAGGCAGGCGCCACCAGTAACACACCTAGGCAAGCGCCACCAGTAACACACCTGGGCAGGCACCACCAGTAACACACCTAGGCAGGCGCCACCAGTAACACACCTAGGCAGGCACCACCAGTAACACACCTAGGCAGGCGCCACCAGTAACACACCTAGGCAGGCGCCACCAGTAACACACCTAGGCAGGCGCCACCAGTAACACACCTAGGCAGGCGCCACCAGTAACACACCTAGGCAGGCGCCACCAGTAACACACCTAGGCAGGCGCCACCAGTAACACACCTAGGCAGGCGCCACCAGTAACACACCTAGGCAGGCGCCACCAGTAACACACCTAGGCAGGCGCCACCAGTAACACACCTAGGCAGGCGCCACCAGTAACACACCTAGGCAGGCGGCACCAGTAACACACCTAGGCAGGCGCCACCAGTAACACACCTAGGCAGGCGCCACCAGTAACACACCTGGGCAGGCGCCACCAGTAACACACCTAGGCAGGCGCCACCAGTAACACACCTAGGCAGGCACCACCAGTAACACACCTAGGCAGGCGCCACCAGTAACACACCTAGGCAAGCGCCACCAGTAACACACCTGGGCAGGCGCCACCAGTAACACACCTAGGCAGGCGCCACCAGTAACACACCTAGGCAGGCACCACCAGTAACACACCTAGGCAGGCGCCACCAGTAACACACCTAGGCAGGCGCCACCAGTAACACACCTAGGCAGGCGCCACTAGTAACACACCTAGGCAGGCGCCACCACTAACACACCTAGGCAGGCGCCACCAGTAACACACCTAGGCAGGCGCCACCAGTAACACACCTAGGCAGGCGCCACCAGTAACACACCTAGGCAGGCGCCACTAGTAACACACCTAGGCAGGCGCCACCACTAACACACCTAGGCAGGCGCCACCAGTAACACACCTAGGCAGGAGCCTTCAGTAACACACCTAGGCAGGCGCCACCAGTAACACACCTAGGCAGGCGCCACCAGTAACACACCTAGGCAGGTGCCACCAGTAACACACCTAGGCAGGCGCCACCAGTAACACACCTAGGCAGGCGCCACCAGTAACACACCTAGGCAGGCGCCACCAGTAACACACCTAGGCAGGCGCCACCAGTAACACACCTGGGCAGGCGCCACCAGTAACACACGTAGGCAGGCGGCACCAGTAACACACCTAGGCAGGCGCCACCAGTAACACACCTAGGCAAGCGCCACCAGTAACACACCTGGGCAGGCACCACCAGTAACACACCTAGGCAGGCGCCACCAGTAACACACCTAGGCAGGCACCACCAGTAACACACCTAGGCAGGCGCCACCAGTAACACACCTAGGCAGGCGCCACCAGTAACACACCTAGGCAGGCGCCACCAGTAACACACCTAGGCAGGCGCCACCAGTAACACACCTAGGCAGGCGCCACCAGTAACACACCTGGGCAGGCGCCACCAGTAACACACGTAGGCAGGCGGCACCAGTAACACACCTAGGCAGGCGCCACCAGTAACACACCTAGGCAAGCGCCACCAGTAACACACCTGGGCAGGCACCACCAGTAACACACCTAGGCAGGCGCCACCAGTAACACACCTAGGCAGGCACCACCAGTAACACACCTAGGCAGGCGCCACCAGTAACACACCTAGGCAGGCGCCACCAGTAACACACCTAGGCAGGCGCCACCAGTAACACACCTAGGCAGGCGCCACCAGTAACACACCTAGGCAGGCGCCACCAGTAACACACCTAGGCAGGCGCCACCAGTAACACACCTAGGCAGGCGCCACCAGTAACACACCTAGGCAGGCGCCAC